TTCCATTGTATCTGTTCAGAAATCTGTATTTGTAGTGCTATTATGTCTTTTAATTTTTTAGATAAAATTTATGTTTATAGTAAATATTCATTTATATTTCTAAACATTATATATCTGTATATATATGCACATTAGTGTATATGTATGTATGTAATTTGCAAGAAAGAAAAACTGAAAAAAATATTAGTACATATTTTTGCTAAATAAAATATTGAAACAAACACTTCTGGTTGAAGAAAAGTAATCTGATGAAAGAATGGAGATAAAGAAAGAAAGATAAAAGAGAAAATATGTTCTTAAATATAAATGGACATTGACTGTATACATATGTATTATAAATATACCATGTAGACAATATATGAAAACAAAAATATAAAAGGCAGAAGACAGAAAATGAAGCTAAATAGTCATATTTACCTTTTCTAAAAAGTTATAATAGTACTAATATTTTAATAAGCCATGGTTGTTTGTTGACATCTTACAGATAGCAATTAAGAGGATACTAAAATATATATATATAACACTAACATGTCAATTCAGGAGGAAAATGAGAAATTAAAATGCTATATTATTTCAAAAGAAGCTGGCAAAGAATAAAAAATGCTAAGGAGACAAATAAAGAACACAAGAGACAAATAGAAAACAGTACGATGGCAGTTCGATCCCTGTCTGAGAATTCTTCCTCAATCATCCTATTTAGTAAATGTACTAACAACTACATCGTTGCAAGCTAAAAGTATAAAGTTACATTATCCTCTGATTACATTTAAGCAGAAATATAATACATTTAAATTCCAGACACCCTTTAGCACCAAATAACTTTACTTTGAATCATAATTTTTGCTGACAGCAAATGTAACATAAAGGATCAGAATCAAATACAAACTATAAACTTAATCTCACATAATCTACAATTTTATTTTTAGAAATATAATAGGTTTGAAACATTGTTTATATTAGAATTTAGGTCTTTGGAAATTTTATTTTTGCAAAAGGGCATTAATATGTGAAGAGATTTAGTTATTGCTTAAGGAACACTTTAAAATCAAAGGGGGATTTCTTCCCTAGGAACATTAAATTTAATCAAAACTTTAAAACATACCAATTAAGCCAGCTTTGTTATACTCTTTTTAAAATAGACAATATAGAAAATAAGACAGGTCCTAAGAGATATCTTGAATTACAGAATGAGCAATTTTAACTTGGTCTATTAAGGGAGTTTTCTGCAAAACTACTGTCATTAGCAAAAACATAGAGATCCAAATAATTTACTTAGTGGATCTGTGGTAGAATAAGCCTTTTATTCATATTTATTCTTTTTATATTTGATAATACATTCTTAAACTTCCAATGTGTGTATATGCACACACATATAATATTTAATTTAATTCTAATAATTCATCAAGGATATATTATCTCTAATATGTAAACTGAAAAATTAAGATCTGGTCATGCTCTTGTATAAACAAAATTATAGGATAAGTTAGTAGCAAAAAATATCTAGGTTTTCAACCTTTTATTGCACACATATGAAATTATTTCAAAAAACAGAATATTCTATCTGTTGTAACTGCAATCAAATCATTTCACATCACAAAAGTCAGGTTGATTCATGATTCTCTCTGCCAGACTCAACAATAGAGAATTGGTTAAGCTCTCTGCTGTCTTGGCAGACTCCAGAATTCATTTTCACCTCATTTCTCCATTAAACCACTATTAGGTCCTATGAGACAAAAAGGTAAAAGAAAAACAGTAATAATATCATTGATTGGTGCTAAGACCAAACTCTATTTATACCATGTCTCCATTCTCATTGATCTTGTATTACTTTAACAAATATTTACCATGATGCTACAATTTGCCAATCATTTAGTTCGACCTTGAACAAATGCTAAGAAGAATTTCACAGTGTTCATAGGCATGTGATGCTTATGGCCTATAAGAGAAAACATTCATTCATTTGCTCATTCAGCAAGTCTTATGGACTGTTAAAAATCAACCAGACATTCTGGTAAGTGTTGAGAATCCCGTGGCAAATTGCTTCCTTTCTTTTATTGTGCTTAATGTCTGCAAAGCAATAAAATATCAAGTAATCATGAAAATAAATATAGAATGTGTATTATATATAATAAATATACTACTATGCAATAAAATTATAACAAAAGCTGCTGGCATTGAGAGTCTGGGAGAGATTTCATGAGAAGATAACATGAAGATTGAAGGCTGAAGATTAATTAGAAGTTAATTTGTTAAAAATCATCTTCCTAACAGAGAGGAAAGTAAGCAAACACTTTGGTTCCAAAGGGAACACAGTTTATTAGAGAACTCAAGGCCACTGTGGCTACAAACAAAAAAGAATAGCTTAAGATGATGTTGCTTAAGTGGCAAGCTTAAGTGGCAAGAACAAAAAAGAATAGCTTAAGATGATGTTGCTTAAGTGGCAAGAACAAAAAAGAACAGCTTAAGATGATGTTGCTGAGAGGTGCAATGAAAACATCATTTGAGGTTTAGAGAACACGTTATAAGTTTTGGTGTTCATTCCTTAAAGCAATGGAAATTAACAGATGGTTTTGAAACAGGGAGGGAAATAGGTTATTTTCTTTGAAATAGGGAAAACTTTCCAACTAGCTATATAGACATCAGGTTGAAGAGGGATTCCTGGAAAGTAAGAAGACTACTGCAACAGCCCAGTCATCCGCATGAGAGATAATGCCATCTTAAAATTGAATGGTGCTTTGAAGTTGGAAAAAGGTACAGATTTGAAAGAAATTCAAGAATTAAAACTGCAAGACTCAGTGATACATTGGGTAATGAAATGAAAGAAGATAGCTTCTGGTGTATGCTTGTAGAACTGAATGAATTATGATGACATTCCATGCAATAGAAAATACTGGAAAAAGATCCAGTGTTGGAAGGAGTAGAACATTACTAAAATCTTGAAAATGTTGAGTTTGAGTTGCTTTTGAGATACCCAAGTGATGATGTCAAATGAGCAGCTGAACATCTATCTAGACTGAAATTCAAGAAAAAAAAGGGAATGTAAGTCTAGAAAACACTGGTGCACAAACAGTAACCAAAGCAGTGAGTGTAGTAGTCACTCACACTCACAGTAGGAAGAATGTAGATAGTGATGAGGAATCTGCATGTTTACCGAGTGAATAAAAGCCATGGAACCTGCCAAGGTGACTAAGAAACCAGAGACATAGGGCTGAAAGCAGTGAAAGTTTGTTAGATCAGAGTCTAGGAAGATAAAGTTCAAAAAAAGCCAGGTGTCAGATGTCAGTGCTGCTGTGAGTTCAAATAGGATGAGACAGAAAAAAAATTACAATTCAGCAGTATTGAAACTAAAACAGAATTATTTTAAAAATTCCTGAGAACACAGAGAAAGGGGCATAACTCTGGAGGGATAAAAGAGCTGGCCAAAAAAAAAATTTTTTTTAACCTGGACTTGAGAAACAACTAGGAGTTTCTAGGAAAAGCAGTTGGTGGTAAAAAGGCAGTATTATAGAAGGCATAGTATTTCTTCAGAAAGGGACAAAAAGTCTTCATTAAGCTGATGAATGTCCCCAAATTTTATTTTTCAGGAATCCCACTCATTTTAATTTAACCTGCTTCCATATCTTAATAGGGCAAAGAAGACATCCTTACCTGTTCTATCATTGTCCCTAAAGCCCACAAACTGTGTAAATCAGAAAATAAAGGGGGAGAGATAAATATAATATTCATTCAAAAAGTTATATAAAGTCTCAGACATAGGAAATATAAGTTAAGAATTCCTGATTAAATAACAGCCTGAATAAAAAAAAAGTCAAGAACATCAAGATAAAAGTTACAACAGGAAGGCCAAAACAGAATGTAGGAAAATTAAATAACCATGTTAGCATGCGGGAAGATAAAGGATAACTTTTCCCCTCTACCACCATCATCAACAGGGTTTAGAGTTAGAAGACCACAGCCAGCTTTTAAGTAATGAGAAGCAAAATACCTTCGAAAGAACACAAATGCTGAATTCTAATTTGTAGACATAAGATTGCAATTTCACATATGATACACCAAACTGATAATACACAATAGAAAATGATTACCTTATATGAAAATCGTTGATTTAAAGCCACATAGTACAATTTTGCTTACTGACAGAAATATCACAATAACATAAGTTATTTTGTTCACAAGTCAAATCGGAAATACTCTGCATCCAGCACCTGTAGTTCAACAACAAAAAGTCCTCACGGTGCTCCTCCTTCACTCCATGTTTCAACATTTTCATGACAATTATCAGTTATTTAATATTTTGTGGAATTTTAGATTTTCAGCTTTTTTAATGAAAAGGCTTATTTCTTTATCAGACACCTTTTCTTTATCTGACACTGGTTGAGAGTGCATTAAATCATAATATTAGCTTGCCTATTGTCTTAACATGGACTTTCAAGAACAATGTGGGAATAAGTTTTAGTCTGAAATTGCTGTTATTTACACTTTCAAGTTTGGTCAAGTTTGTTGAAGCACAAATACATTTGGGATAATTAATGTTCTGATGGATTATTTCATCCTGCTATGTCTTCTTAACCTTCTACTGGTTTCATTTCTTTTTCTGCCTCACATTGTGACAAATGTGTCGTCTTTGTTACACAGTACAAGGAGCTTTGAGAATAAGGGCAGTATCCTTGAAGGAATACCTATAAATACAAAATGTATTACGTAACGCATCCCTTTCCAGGAAAACACCAAGAAGGAATTGTTTCCTTTAGGCGACCAGTAAACGGTCACTGGTAGGGATTTTGCTGGGTCTAATCTCTAGAGGTGGGTCGTTACATTGACAGAGGAGAGATGATGAGAAACCATTTAAGGAGTGGGGCCTGACACGACAGAGCTGCTGCGGGAAGGTCCCTGGGGTGAGGAGGTGACACAAAGGGAGGAGGGCACCAAAAGGCTGCAGGGAGAGAGGCTGGCTGTCAGTGCGCATGAGGATGGGGACACCCTGGGCCGCGAGGTGGTACCTGCGCGGGGTCGAGCGCCCCTGCCACTGAATCCCCAATCCAGAGATGCTCCCGGAGAAGCTGCTGGTAGCTGAGGCAGTGCTTCACCGCAGATGGCACATTCCCCATGGCGGAGCGTGGGGCGGCAGTCAGCGAGGGGAGGGAGACTTGAGGAGGATGAGGGGCGGGCACCACGCTGGGAAACTGCGCCAGCTCGGGAGCGCGCCCCTCCGGTGCACAGGCTGTGAGGACCAGAGCTGCTCTGCGCACTGCGGCGGCGCCGAAAGGGCGGGGAGCAGGGCGTGGCAGGTGGCTGCTCCGGGGTAGCGGGTCCACCAGGCACCTGCGGCAATCGTCAGAAATGCCAGGCACCTGAAAAGGAAAGAAAGGAGCTGAGCCAAAGGATATTCACGGGTGGTGCATTTCCCTCACTACACTTAGCGCCCAGGACTGACTGTATCTGCACATGACCACCTACTTCTCACCTGGTTCAGATCAGGTGTAGAAGAAAAGGGATCTAACATAAAAGGAGGGGCATGCATTTTTGTGTTGGTGAGTTTGTTCATTCTCAGCTGAATCCTTAGGTGTTCAAGTGTAGATTTGCCCACCATTGAGCTCACAGACTTCATGTTTTATAACAATAAGCTCTATTTAAAAATGTTTTGAGACAACCGGCAAGGTTAAAACATATCTAACAGTCTAAAAAAAGTAAAAGATAGACAGTCGTAAATTAGGGAAGGTGTCAGAGGTATTCTCAGAGGTACTTTCCTAAATGGGAGGTAAGCTGTCAGTAAGTTGGCGCTGCAGTTAAGCGCTGAAATGGAACTGTGTTTCAAAGTCTCATGGCACAAAATTATTAAAGCCTGTAGAACTAGATTTATCCAAACGGAAAATTCTAAACAAGTTATTAGGATATTAGAATTGCAGAATTTTTAGTGTAAGAGTATGAAAAATAGCCTTGGAGCAGACCACTGTCCTGCCTTTCCCACCCCACTTTCAAATGTACACTTATTTATATTGTCACACCCTAATACCCTTCTCAGTGGGTTCAGTGATTTGCAGATAGAATGACATGGTCATCAAAAATAGTCTCATGCAGGGTACCTAGGGTCTCCCAGAGACACAGCCAGGATGTTCATGGCCAGGAGTACCCTCCCCACTGTTCGCTGACTGAGCAAATATAAACCAGGAGCCAACTGATGCACACCATAGTGTAAACACATAGAAGAAATTTGCCATCCAAAGTCAAACCATCCTTACCACTTGTGCATTTCAGGGGTGGGGGATTGGGGAGCAGGCAGTGAGACTTCCACAGGTAATAGAAATAAATGAGTTAACAGAGGAAAAAGACAAAGAGTGGAAGAAAAATCATGTAGATCCTTTGATAAAACAGTACTAGAAAGGACAAACAGGATGAGGAGGTCATAGTCCTCACACAGTTAACCAAGGATGTTTAACCTGGAGAACATTGTCTGAACTGCTGAAGTGAAGTCATGCAATTACTAGATGCACCTAAAACTCTGTAAAGCACAAAAACTTTGGTTGTTTGTACCTAAGCATGACTATTATATAGGTGTACGTTCATAGAGCTAAATCTATTAGATGCACCAGCAGAGATCAGCTATTTGCCCACCTACTTCTCACCTGGTTCGGATCAGATGTAGAAGAGATCAGCTGTTTATTATTTTTTCACTACAAGTGAAATGGAGCATATTGGTTAAATCTATGCTTACTATCATTTTTCTCTATATATCAAAATTCTGCAACAAGGAACGTGATATTGAAAAAAAATCTTGAAAGATCCAAGTTGAACAACAATGATTTAGCAAGGCAACCTTCATAATGGAGTCAACAATCATTTCAAACCTCAAAAAGGATTGTCAATTAAAATCAAAATGAAGTCTAAACTTTTCAGTTTAGATAGAGGACTTATCAGTCCTCTAAGATAAGTCAGATATTATATGGTCCTCTGGTACTAAGAAAAAGAACATTTAGAAAAAAAAAAAAAAAAACTTTACTGCTTAATAGTAAAGTTTCCTAAATTAGAATAGTAAAGTTTCTAAATTAGAAGGGTCTGAACAAAATTTTACATACTAATTAATAGACCATGTAACATGTTTTTTACAGAAAAAAATTATAAATATGAAAGTTTTTGTTGACACATTTTATTTTAATTCATATCATATGAAAAATGCTGTAATCTAAAATTTTTAAACAAAATCTGTACAAATGCCAAAATCAAAAAGATAAATATCTTAAGAATGTTTAATCTAATGAATAAACAGGATTGGAAATATATGTGCTTTCACTGGTAAGCAAAGTTTGATGTTAATTTATGAATGCTTAAAATTTATAAATTTGAAAAGCTTATGTTCTTGTACTTCATATTAATGTACATCTTCTTTTTGATTACTCAAATATTTTCAATATGTACCCCTGTTACTTGCAAGTCTAAAAAGCTCTAGTTAAAATGAGAATAAAGATAATTCTGAGGAAGATACTGTAGTTCTCTTTTGCCATATAACAGGTGAAGAAGCTAGATCTCCTTTAGAAAAATAAAGAAACCACTTGTTAAAAATTCCCAAGAGAGTCAGTACCATATCCCAAATCTGCACTCTCTACTGTGCTTGCTGCATCATATGACTAAGCTATTTTTATTTCATTGCAGTTTACTCACTCAAATAGAGGAAGATAAGAACATTCACTGCAAATTAAAGTTAATTAAATTTTCTGTTTTCTCTATTGAGTTTATTAATGATTTTGCTATATGCAAAAACATCCAATTCAACCTGTCTCTCCTGAATTATTCTTGACTTCTTTCTCTCATTAATCCTACACAAGTCTATAAACATAATTCACCACATAAACAGAACCAAAAACAAAAACCACATGATTATCTCAATTGATGCAGAGAAGGCATTCGACAAAATTCAACAGCCCTTTATGCTAAAAACCCTCAATAAACTCGGTATCAATGGAATGTATCTCAAAGTAATAAAAGCTATTTATGACAAACCAACAGCCAATATCATACTGAATGGGCAAAAACTGGAATCATTCCCTTTGAAATCCAGGACTAGACAAGGATGCCCTCTCTCACCACTCCTATTCAATATAGTACTCGAAGTTCTAGCCAGAGAAATCATACAAGAAAAAGAAATAAAGGGTATTCAAATAGGAAAGGTGGAAGCCAAATTGTCTCTATTTGCAGACGACATGATAGTATACCTAGAAGACCCCATCGCCTCAGCCCAAAGACTCCTGAAACTGATAAGCAACTTCAGCAAAGTCTCAGGATATAAAATCAATGTGCAAAAACCACAAGCATTCCTCTATACCAATAACAGACTTAAAGAAAGCCAAATCAAGAACGAACTGCCATTCACAATTGCTACAAAAAGAATAAAATACCTAGGAATACAACTCACAAGGAACATAAGGGACCTCTTCAAGGAGAACTACAAACCACTGCTCAACGAAATCAGAGAGGACACAAACAGATGGAGAAACATTCCATGTTCATGGTTAGGAAGAATTAATATTGTGAAAATGGCTATATTGCCCAAAGTAATTTACAGAATCAATGCTATCCCCATCAAGCTACCATGGACGTTCTTCACAGAACTGGAAAAAACCACAATAAACTTCATATGAAACCAAAAGAGAGCCCGCATAGCCAAGTCAATTCTAAGCAAAAAGAACACAGTGGGGGGCATCACACTACTGGATTTCAAACTATACTACAAGGCTACAGTAATCAAAACAGCATGGTACTGTTACCAAAACAGAGATATAGACCAATGGAACAGAACAGAGGCATCGGAGGCAACACAACATATCTACAACCATACAATCTTTGATAAACCTGACCAAAACAAGCAATGGGGAAAGGATTCCCTGTTTAAGAAATGCTGTTGGGAAAACTGGCTAGCCATGTGCAGAAAGCAGAAACTGGACCCCTTCCTGACACCTTACACTAAAATTAACTCCAGATGGATTAAAGACTTAAACATAAGACCTGGCACCATGAAAACACTAGAAGAAAATCTAGGCAAAACCATTCAGGACATAGGAGTAGGCAAGGACTTCATGAACAAAACACCAAAAGCATTGGCAACAAAAGCCAAAATAGACAAATGGGACCTAATCATACTCCACAGCTTCGGCACGGCAAAAGAAACAGTCGCTAGAGTGAATCGGCAACCAACAGAATGGGAAAAAGTTTTTGCAGTTTACCCTTCTGACAAAGGGCTGATATCCAGAATTTACAAAGAACTCAAGCAGATTTACAGGAAAAAAAACAAACAAGCCCATTCAAAAATGGGCAAAGGATATGAACAGACACTTTAGAAAAGAAGACATACATGAGGCCAACAAACATATGAAAAAATGCTCACCATCAGCTGTCATTAGAGAGATGCAAATCAATACCACATTGAGATACCATCTCAAGCCAGTTAGAATGGCAATCATTAAAAAATCTGGAGACAACAGATGCTGGAGAGGATGTGGAGAAATAGGAACACTTTTACACTGTTGGTGGGAGTGTAAATTAGTTCAACCATTGTGGAAGACAGTGTGGCGATTCCTCAAGGCCTTAGAAATAGAAATTCCATTTGTCCCAGCAATCCCATTACTGGGTATATATTCAAAGGACCATAAATCATTCTACTATAAGGACACATGCACACGAATGTTCATTGCAGCACTGTTTACAATAGCAAAGACCCTGAACCAACCCAAATGCCCATCGATGATAGACTGCATTGGGAAAATGTGACACATATATACCATGGAATATTATGCAGCAATCAAAAACGATGAGTTTGTGTCCTTTGTAGGGACATGGTCGAATCTGGAGAACATCATCCTCAGCAAAGTGACACAAGAACAGAAAATGAAATACCACATATTCTCACTCATAGGCGGGTGAGGAAAAATAAGAACACCTGGACACAGGGAAGGGAGTACTAAACACTGAGGTCTATTGGGGGGAAAAGGGGAGGGCCAGCAGCAGGGGGAGCTGGGGAGGGATAGCCTGGGGAGAAATGCCAAATGTGGCTGAACAGGAGGAAGGCAGCAAAGCACACTGCCATGTGTGTACCTATGCAACTGTCTTGCATGTTCTGCACATGTACCCCAAAACCTAAAATGCAATAAATAAATAAATAAATAAATAAATAAATAAATAAAATAAAAAATAAAATCCTACCAATCTGTCAACAAGTGATATGATTTAAACATCTTAGGCCCATGTCTTGCTCTCTTTCTTTTGCTAAGAACTTCTC